TTGTCTATTTTCTCGCTTGCCGACAGATAGTTCAAGAAAGTGTTTTTGTTCCAAAAGTCCCAATTTGGATTTTTTTTTTTCTGCAGTTTTAAATTTCTGAAAGGTTAGAATTAATGGTCGGTTTGCCCGGCGCAGAAAAGATTTCTGTGGGTCGATTGCTGTACTGAATCAACAAAACTTGAGCTCTTGATCACATTACTGAAGGACGACGAAATGTCATCAGGTTTGCCAGAAAAACACATAGTATACTCGAGTAATACAGAGGATATATATTCGTTCGTTATATTAAACATTTAACAACAATCTCTCTGACGAAATCCAAACCCGACTCCAAGTTTCTGTTGACTAACGGCTCAAGGGCGGGTCAAAGGCAAAAAAGGAGGTCATTTTCCTTTATCACTCCGCTTTCTTCCGTGCATCGTTCAACGGGACTAAAAAAAAAATTGAGGGCAATATTCTACATTGATTTTTGAAAAGATTGTAGTGCTTCACTTGACAAAAACATTGATTGTCTGACAGAATTAGGATATTTTGACCTTGAATAAACAATTAACAGCATAATAACTGCGTTCTCCTCTTCGAGTGAAGAACACGACCGGAAATGATATAACCATACAAGTAAATCAATTCTCGAAAATACAAGTTTGACGAACCAGGGATATTTTACCGTCGGGGTTTTACTTTTCTGAGCCAACATATCGCCGAAGGTAAGCTAGTGATTCTGTTTACCCTTTTTAAATATTTTTTCTTCATTCTTTTTTAGTTTTTATTGATAGGAATTTAAGACGAAATCCGATAGGAAATTGAACAATTTCAGTATTTAGTGGACAAACACCTTGTACCAGAATAATGTTTAGTATATTAAAATCGTTTTTGCATTTTCTAAAAGCTGAAGCTATAAATAATTGCCCGAAATAACACCAAAAACAGTTTCACATAGGGACTCGAGAAAATAAATTTCAAAGTTCAGAGAAATTGTGCAAACACACAGGTTACACAGGTAAAATTTCATCATCAGTGTCATTTCACCAGTATTTTCAAGTGTTTCATATGAACTTTAAAATTTCTTTTCAACATTTGGTGCTGTTAGAAATGATTTTTGTTTTGAGGTATTCAAAACAGTTGCATAGATGTTTGCAATACGATGCAAATAATCTTGGTGCGCGTCACATGGGATTAGTATGACGTCATACGTACGTGTGACGTGTATAATAGAGACGAAAAAGGGAAAAACCACTTTTATCACAGAATGCCTCAAAATAACGTCGAATTTAGTTTCCAATTATCGATCATTACACGATGGTAATTTTACAATCTCATGAAATCCCACATGTTCACTTTTGGCGATGTTATTCGGAAATTTTGAAAGAAATGTATCAGTTTTTCAGTTGGAGGCTCTGAGTTGTACAAGAGGGAGGGTGTTACACTTTGTTTACTTTACTGGCTCTACTTTCGTGTACAATTCAATCTCTCAGTTCTTGCTAGTTTTCCTAATTTGATCATTGGGAGTGCAAAGAACTATAAGAAGTAATCTGTGGTTGCAAAGAACAAAAAAATATTAATAATTATGAATTTCTTTATCTTTTTCTTTGTTAACGGATCTTGTGAGACCAGTTGTTCCACGGCATAATTCTTTTAATAATGCAGTTTTTTTGAACACAAGAGAACTAAAAAACATTTACGGCAATCATGCTCAACATAGAAAATGAAAAGCTAGAAGCAAATAAATTTGTGAGCGAACTAGAATTACAGGATTTTTAATCGCGGGTTTCTGCACCACATCAATCTTAGTCTATTTTTTGTACCTCCCTGCTTAGTAAAGGAAGTTAGCACTTAAAACAATCGCATTGTTTATCAGTAACTTTAGTTCATCAAACATCTAAATGAATCTGCTATCAGTAAAAATAACTGTGCGTCAAAAAATTTAGTTTATCGTTTCGGAAACGTCAAAGAAGTAAATTGAGTTTTTGCGGAGGTACATTTCAGAATAATCCATTATTTATAATCTTAGGTCATTACGACCATTTGGTTTCCATTTGCCAAGATTAGAAGATCGAAAAACAATCTCAGGTCGACGTTTTAGCTAATTTGCACAAGAGCAGCCTGACAAAATAATGGATTTCTCTACTCAGAGAGTTACTACTTCACCATAGGAGGCGATGAATGTAAAATTGAACACAGAAAAGGCTCTAGAGATTTTAACTTATCTTATGAAAAGCTGTATCATTGAGGGTTCTAACTATACACGTGTTTGCGCCATTTTGGAATCCACATGGCCCAAAACATACGAGATTGGGGCAAACTATGACATCAGTAAGTTCACCTCAAGACATGTGAAGACGTCATGGTGTATAGTTTAAACATGATTGATTCCTACCAAGTTTTGGTACACAATACACATCCCTGACGATTCAAAGAATATTTCAAATGATTTAGAACTGCTATTTTTACTTAAGTATCTTGAGAGAAATTGAATGAAAGATTTTTAACCTTAAAAGCTTGATGAATATTCCCAGTTTTCATTCGCTAAAGCGCCATAAAGTCCTAGGCATTTTGACAAGCGGTTAACTGTCACACTTTGTTTATTAGTGTCTTAACCTATAGTTGCATTCGTTAGATCCTTGTTTCCCTTTTTAGCCAATCGAAGTGCTGTTATTTTCCTTTCTAATATCTGCCATCTGCTTCTCGCTACTTTTAAATAGGTTTAGCACTCATAAGCTCACTTCATCTATTCGACACCAGTTACCTCAATCAGCAGAACGTTTCAAATTTCGCTTCACGAAGATTGATTCACGAGCTATGACAATTTTTTTTTTCCTTCCTATAAAATCATTCGACATATGTTTATGCCAGCTTTGATTTCAGCTGCACATTTACATTTGGTTGGATTTTTCAGTGGAAATCCTTATTGACAATTATCTTCCCTGATTACATCAACAAAAACGGTAAGAAATGATTGAATCAGTTAAATATATTGAAATTATATGAGTTTCCAATGTAATGATCCAGAAAAAAAATTCCCACTTTTGACAAGAACGGTATGAACACATCTGAATTCAAGTGCAAACGTTTTAAGACACACACTTGCACAAATCGAGCAGTTGACACGACCTCATCGTTACTGCGGGAAGATATTACACACACGCCTCTCTTTTGTGTCTTTTCGAGATCGTTAAAACTATTTTTATCTATTATTTTCTTCCTTTATGCGTCGTTAACAGAAAGAGAACGGCAAAGCTATAAGTTTTTTAGGAAGGAAGACTTTTCACAGTTGATAGCCACTCGAACTACTTTGTAAAGTATTCTTGAAATGTAGGGCACGTTAATTTTTTATTTCAATATAAACATATCATTTCCAGTTGAATTTACAACGAGTATAATACAGCACTTAAGGAAATATCACTACAAAAAAAATGCTTCTTATCGGAGTGGTAAATGTTCACTCTAACGTAAAAAGCCCTTGAAGTTGAAAATATCGCTATTTCTTATTCCGAGATGCGGAAAACGAGAGACTTTCAGTTGGAATGGAAGTTAATTGCCACTTCTTTTCTCCACATTATATTGCCAACCGATGTTAAATTAATTTTGGTGAAAACTTTATCATGCCAAATTCGATCTAGCATGGCTGTTTTTATTTAAGGGGAACCATGCTTATACCGGAGCGATTAATATTGTTTTCGCCGAAGTTATGGCAGTTGACTTCCGAGTAAATAGTAAAACTATGGCAGCGGATCAGGCAGAGTATTCAGTGCATTAACTAGAAACATTCAAGTGTTATAAGTAACCTTCATTTATGCGTGGTGTTATATTTTTAGAAATAGTGACCACAGTTGACCAATAAAACTCTATGTGCTCGTTATTTTTGATTAAATGGTTTAATCAACATAATATGTTCAGATTTCAATTGATCAGGCGTGTTACTCTGCCAGGAAAAACGCTAAAACTCGATAACTTCTTTCATTAATTTTTGGAGACATTTTGTCAGCTAGTATATTGGCTTTCCCTTTGCTTGGCCAATGAAAAAACACGTTAAGTCTTCTTGAAGACGTTGAAATAATGCAAATTTGGAACAGCAGTGCACTTAATAAATTGCTATTGCGTTTGTTTGCTTTTTATTTGCCACGAGGTCGGGAAATCAATAGAAAATGCCAAGAATTTTTTTGAGCAATCAAAAACTTCAGCACGTACGCTTGCTCTAGTCAAATGGAACCGAACAATGTAAAATGAAATGAAATGAAATCAGCCGGAAAATTGTCAACATACCACATAATCATCTGCAATGTAGTCACGTCCAAGGGTTCTAAGTGGATTGAAAAGTTTCGATCAATGTTTAAACGAGAAAATCTCTTTAACAAAACTATTTCACACCCTGCAAAAAATTGATCGGAAACGGGAAATTTGATAAAGGATTCTATCTACATGTCCCTTTTTATTCTAATTGTCTTTTGGTAAAAAATCGTGGAACGTGCCATATTCCTAAAAAAAATTGAAAACCAACCAATAAATGAGTGGTTAAGTATTTTTTTTTATTATTGGTTTGTTTTTGTCTTGGCGGGGTGAAATCCGACTGAACCAGCTAAAAAGGTACTTTTATCTGATTACCTTCCGAAAATCATTGAGTGGAACTAAAACGTTTCGAAATAGTCTTTAAAAACCGTCATTTAGTTTCGATGAATGTTCGTGAGAAAGGTCACGGCTTTTTAAGAACGTGTTCCGCCAGAAATAATTGTTGAACAAAATGACACTCCACTTGACTCCGTGTCTAATTTGTCTGCATGCATAATACATTCGTGTTAAAAGTTAGCACACGAGTATCTATAAAGTAAAAATGTGTTGTTATCTTTCTTTGAAGAGAAACTTGTGAAAACTGAGATAGTACATAGCCAAACATTTCTGGTATTCATTCAGTTGGATGACCTTAACTTCGAAGAAAAACTGCCTTACTTTTGGGTAGCTTAACCAACACATTAACATTGCGGCTTTTCATTTTAAACTTTTAGTCTGCGAAAAGAACCATCAGCTTCTCCTAAGAAATGATGAACAACTCGAATACATCTTACAGAATCAACGACACAACTGTAACTCCAGCAATTTTCCAAGCAGCTCCGCAAAAGGAACGCTGGATAGAAGCTCTATATTTCTTCCTTGCTATCGCGGAGGTTGTCATAGTGATAACAGCACTGGTTGGTAACTTGATTGTGGTGTACGCTTTCATCGCATACAAAAAACTTCGAGCCAGTGTCACAAACTACTTTGTGATTTCACTAGCTGTTTCTGACATACTCACATCGGGTGTCGTAACTTCATTCAAGGCTGATTCCACCCTTAAATATCAAAGGTGGACGCACGGCGAGTTCATGTGCAGTCTTTATACCACCATGTATTTACTTGCCGTACCGAGCTCGGTTATAAACCTGTGTGCTGTCACTGTGGACAGGTTTTTGGTGTTGAGGATGCCTCTGCGATACAACTCTCTTATGCCGCCAAACAGAGCTGTCTTCATAATCTGCTGTCTCTGGATCTACGCACTCGTTTGGGCGTGTCTGCCAGCCATGGGGTGGAAGGTTAATCTACCAGTCTTACAGCACGGCTATTGCTACTTTATGACTACACGAGGCTACAACGTGACGGTAAATATCGTCAATTTTCTGTTACCAATGATATTCATGGCCATATTCTGGTTCTTCATCTACGCAATCGTCATTCGGCACCGCGAGAGGGTTTTTGAAATGGAACGAAACCTTTCTTTTAACACCAACGAGACAAACGAGTCGTCACACAACTCTTGTAACACACTCAGCAGTCACGCCGCCTCGTCGAGTCAGCTCGCACCAAAAGAGAAAACAGAAAGAAAGAAAATGCGGCGAAACGTCCGAAGATCACGCTACATTGGTTTCATTGTGGTGCTGTTTTATTTCTGCTGGCTACCATACGTAACACTAAGCATGATTGGTAACTTATGCGGATGGTGCAACGCGCAAGGACTTATACCATATGTATTGTACGACTCACTTCTAGCGCTGGGTTTTATGAATTCTGCGCTCAACCCATTCCTGTATCCATTTCACGACAAACATTTCAAAGAGGCGTTCAGGGACATGTGGAAGAAAATGGCAAGCAAGACTTTTGTCAAACTGTTATCGCGAAGAGAGAAGGTCTTAGAGATGGCGAGGGTAGAGGTTGCTGTGGCTAGCAGGAGAGGTTGACTGAGGACAATAACAAATAACAGTAACAATAACAATAACAGAAAAAATAACAATAACAATAACATTAACAATAACGATAATGGTAACGATAACAATAACAATAACAATAACCGAAGGAAAGATCAGCAAAAGGAATAAATAGCCTAAAGAATTAGTTAATCGTAGCTAATAGTGAACCGTCGCAATTCAAAGTACTCATTGAAATCATACTGAATATTATTAATCGAAATCACATTAAAACTCACTAGAAAATTGTCCAAAACCGAATTGAATTAGATCTTGAATTAAGAGTTTTCAAATAGCACAGGAATGTAAATATCAAGAAGAAAATCCAAGCCAAACCTTTCAGAAGTTTTGGTGCGACCTTAAGTAGTCATTAACCCCCGGGGGGTACTCCAGAAAAATCAGGTAGGGGTGTGAGGCCTGCTTTCCAAACCCCTTACCCTATTTAAGACCATAATCTGTGATTTTCCCTACCCTATTTATGACCAGACCAAATATTTGATAACCTATTTAAGACCTAACCCTAAAATCAATACCCTGTTTCAGACCTGTCTAATAATTGGTGACCTAGTTCAGACCGATGTTGAAGGCATTGTGAAGGGCTTTGTTGATGGTCTTAACGATACTGATGAAAAGTGGCTTCCTCTAAAAAAGAACCGAATTCAAGGCAAGAGTGCAAAAATCATACCCTATTTGAGATCAAAATGACCAAAATCGATACCCTATTTCTGACCAAAACGGTTAAAAAACCATACCGTCTGGGGTCGCACATACCTATATAGCCCATATAAGGAAGTGCCTCCCCAACCCCCGCCATGGGGCACCCGGGGCATTAACGAAACGTTCTTATAGCAAGAGCACGCATGTGCATCAGTCGACGCTGTTGCCGTTTTGTATATAACGACAAGACATTGTGCAGTCTCTTGGGAGATCTTGGAAGGACAATATTTGCACGTCCCCAATTTCAGCGGATTAATCTTGTGCCAGAGTCATTGTATAGTAGCTTAACTTAAATATCACTGTATATATTCGTTATAATTTATCTGCAAATGGTCATTGGGCGACCATCAGGAAGTCAGAATTGATTGCAGAAATGTGTGATTTGTCTGTGAAAATGAGTTCGGCTTTTGATGCGATTAAAAATTGAAATGAGCAAGTATGGTTCTTTTGCGACACTGTATAAAAATGTCAAATTGCCAGTAATTTAGATCTCAACAAGCAGTAAGAAGTAATTAGATCTCAACAAGCAATTGAGACATTTGTACACTTACCGTTCCCAAATCAGCAATGGCTAAATCCCTGGGACGTCACGTGCTTGCAGGAAATCATGATATTTATATTCATAAAAACAAAGATGATTAATACAACTACCATGATTCCCTGCAGGCACGTCTCATGGAGGAAATTGGCCAATAGGCCATTTCCGAATTCCTTAATCTTCTGCCTCTGTTTCACAACGAGGCTTCTTGCAAAACCTTTCATATAAAAATCAGTTTGATTTGTACGAAAATGAACCTACACATAGGCGGAACACGTACATTTCCATATGAATGGTTTCGCACGTAGACTCATTTTGACAAAGAGGCAAAAGCCAACTCGGAAATGGCCAATTAAAAGCCTTGAGTACTGTCCTTATATCGTCACTGACCTGATCTGGTCACGTCATAGCCATATGTAGGCCGCTGGTTCCAAGATTCCTACGCATTGCCGTGATTTCGAAGGTGATTCCGAAGAAACGAATGTGGTCGAACGATTTTTTTAAAACTTTCCCTGAATGTTCCCTGCTAAAAATACAATAAAAACGATGGGTCATCATGCTCGCAAAAGAGATATTTTTCAGCCATTTGTGCCTAATATCACATGCGTTATTTCGCTGGTGCGCGTTACATTTCGCGGTAGCAAGAAAGAACTGTTACTGATCTAAGATTAACGAGAATATGAAGATGTCTTCACACGATCAAGTTCAGCATCGTTTCAATGGTCTTTGCAAGATGGCGGACACGGCGAAAAAATCCACGAAATCCATCCTCTCCATGTCCGCCATCTTGGAAAGATCTTGGGAACGAGGTTGCTGAGTGAAATCTAACTTGGCTCCCAGGCTTCTTTCACTGCATTGAACTGCACTGCACTGCACTGCACTGCACTGCACTGCACTGCACTGCACTGCACTGCACAGCGCTGCGTTGCAATGCACTACACTTAATTCACTACTCTATTAATCTTTGCATTGCTCCTTCACTACTCGGACACAACGCCTCCCAGAGATCGTCAATGAGTTTACTATTTTCAGTTGAATAGACTCCAATCAGCCGTCAGATCCCGTTGTTCGTAGGCTGGATAACGCTATCCACCGGGTAAATCGTTATTCAGTGGATAAGTGTTACCAAAACATAGCCACGTTATCCGCTGGATAGTGATTTATCCCGTGAATAGCGTTATCCACCATTCAAATAACTCGGGCCAGGCCGGAGATCATGACAAGCAGAGCTTAATATAGACATTACACGTAACAAATTTATAACAACCTTCTTCGACCAATTATGGAAAAATACACGCGGGCTGGTGGATCAAGTTTGACTAAAACATTTATTTACAAGTCATATAATATACATTGCAGGCAATATTTCAGTGGGCTCGGCAGAACAGAGTATTTACACTGAAAGAAATATTTGAGTACCACCGAGACAAACTAAACTTGGTCTCAACTAGTAAGAACGATAAGGAGGAAAGACCTGTTTCAAGGCCTCTCTGCGACACGCGAGCAGGGATCCAAGTTGGATATATCAAAACATCCAAGACTTGGCAGTGTTTAAATCAGGACCTGGGTGGGGTAAAAGTGATAGCTGAAAATTGGTGGAAAGTTAAACTGTCAGCTAAGCAATGAAGCGATTTTTAACCGAAAGCTGAGATCTGAGAGCCGCAAACTTCACTAATAGCTGATAAACGGGATGAAATTTTAAATGATTTTGGAGAAATCTCAGAAAATTTAACTGCTATTTGAAATTTCAGCACCCCCATCCAGACCTGTTAAACAAAACTGCCATAATTCCCTGAAGACGTGTCTCTTAAAAGATCAGAGCTAGACATGCTGAAGAAAATAATAAATTGCTTCTGGATAATATTATAAGCACAGTGCTATATATCAGTAGAGGATTGATTTTCTTTTTCTCTTTACATGTAAGCTTGAAATATATTGAGATTGCAAGGAGAAATACAATTTTCATCAGACATCTCCTAATGTATCAAAGGGTGAAGCAAAGCTTAGAAATCAAAATGTGTTTCGAAAGTTTGGAACTTACTACAACTTACTACTATACTAAGAAATATTTACTAATGGGAGATATTTTTTTTCACATGTCGTCGCTATTTAACAATTAGATTATCACCTTGTAGAATTTGAGAGCAAATAATCTAATTGTTCTAGTAGAATTCTATCTTAATTTCCTTCAAATAAGACTTTTAATCATTTTTTAACATCGCGCTCATCGGTTCATTGGAAAATTATGAGGTTTTAAAGTCGAATAACGGTCTGTTCTTGAGAATTCAATTATCTAGAAAAATAAGAGAAACTAGAAAAAATTGCCATAACGTGGACGACCTCTAGCAATTGCACTCTAATGGCTGATAGTATACGAGTAGCTCAGCCAATCAGATTGCAGCATTTGCATTAATATACTTCAGCCAATCTGACTGCAGCATTTACGTTAGTATACTAGTAGAATTCTACTAAGGCCAAATAGAGTAGTAAAACTCACAACGATTGTTCATAACGTGATGACTTATACTCTTATTCATTTAGGATTACTGATGTGGTCTATGTGCTACATAAGCTTCCTCAAAGCGCCATAACTTTTAAAAGGCAAAAACGATTTCCACACTGTACTATCGGATCTTTACATTACAGTTTTTCATCTAAATTTGTACAATTATTACTCGTGAAATTAGACCGGGTTTGCTCGTTACATTAAAACGTTTCGCGTTATTTTGAGCTACTTTAGATGATTTTAGTTCAACAATAAGCTCATACAAGAAGGGATGAGAGATAAGAGGGTTAAAATTAAAAAAATTGAAACATTTAGAGAGGAAGCCACATCAGCTTAGCTGGTTTTCACACGGGTCCTCTATCCTGGTCGAATTGGAATTTGAAAATATTGGTTTTTGTGGAGGGAGGAAAACCGGAGAACCCGGAGAAAAACTCTCCGAGAAAGCCGAGAACCAACGACAAACTCAGCCCACATATGACACCGGACTGGAAGCGAACCCGGGCCACTTGGGTGGGAGGCGAGCGCTCTCATCACTGCGCCATCTCTACGAGTCGCTCAAATAGATCTTATTCCTAAAAGTGATCCCTCTTTCTAGAAATAAGCAATCATGTGAAGCGAATTTTGTTCACGTGGACAGCCCAAGCTGGATTACACGCACTTTCATCCTCCCACGAAAACATCCACGCAACACGCGTGGTGACATTTTCCGCTCGAGAACTGGGCACCATAACTAAAAATAACTTGAGACGGATTGACTCTCTTACTCTTCATCCTCTCATGTTTTGACACGCGAGATGGCGCGCGAGATTCTACCACTCTGGTACGTGCGCGCAATGAGCAGCTGTTATATATTTAATGGATACTGCTGGATTTACATTATACCCTGATGAGCTTGGTAGTGAAGAATTATTTTATAATAAGTACTAATCCATTGATTAGTAGAAATAATCGCCGGAATGCAAGGGCAACAGGTTCTTTCAGAGTTACCTTGTGCCTCCGTTTCAAAACTAGTCCTCGTGCAAAACATTTCATATGAAAATGAGTTCCATTTGACACAAAGCTAAAAACAACTCGGAGATAGCCCATTAAGGATCCCATTTGCGCTACGAGTAACAATTGAAAATTCTCAACATTTAGTCCAGCGAAATGTGCAACAATTGTCAAATATCACAAGTAGAGGAATTTTAAATCGCCCGAGCTTGCATATGACTTCTCTTTTACTATATGACTGAGAAAATTAAGAACACGCCTACATTAAAATATACTTGATTAACGATAAATTTACCTGTTCTCAGCGAAACCACGGTCAAGTAATTTTCTCAGTCATATAATAAAAACCAAACCGCCGACATTAGCCAACCAACTTTACATTACTAGATAAATTGCATATTTTGCTCGTTGACTACTAGGTTTGAATTGCATATATGGATACAGAACAAGTGACCAAAGATACCGATAGTTCCCCAGTTAATCATAGCCGTAAAGACAGCAAAGTGAACAATAATCTATATCTAACCGTGTTGAGGCATTCTCTAGGATATTCGCCTTCCAAAGTCTTCCTTCCTTATTTCATGACAGCTCCACAAAGAACTGAAGACAGAGTTGGTAGAAGTCGTCCGTATTAAAATTTCCTTAAATTCTTGAAATTTCATCTTTGGGCGACAACAGCTTAACGAAAATCTTGCTTCTAATTTTCTTCCACATGTCCCTGAACGCTTCTTTGAAATGTTTGTCGTGGAATGGATACAGGAATGGGTTGAGCGCAGAATTCATAAAACCCAGCGCTAGAAGTGCATCGTACAATACATATGGTATAAGTCCTTGCGCGTTGCACCACGTACACAAGTTCCCAATCATACTAGCTGTTACGTAAGGTAACCAGCAGAAATAAAACAGCACCACAATGAAACCGAGGTACCGGCATCCGCGGACGTTGCGCCGTATTCGTTTTCTTTCCCTCTTCTCATTTTTTGGCGCCAGGTGTGTCATTGGATGGCCTTCTCCGTTGGCGTTTATGTTGTTGCTGGAATTGGATGAGTCATTGGTATTAAGAGACAGGCTTCTCTCTATCTTCAGAACCCTTTTGCGGTGTTGGTGAACGATGGAGTAGATGAATGACCAGAAAATCGCCATAAAGATCATCGGCAACAAGAAATTCACAATGTTCACCGTAATATTGTACGCTCGGTCAGTCCCGAAGTAACAAAAGCCGTTTTGAACAACAGGATTGTCAGGATGCGCCGTCCACCCCATGACGGGAAGGCAAGCCCAGGTAAGAGCATATATCCACAGGCAACTAATTATGAACGCAGCTCTTTTTGGTGGCATGAAAGAGTTGTATCGCAGAGGCATCCTCAACACCAAAAATCGATCTACAGTGAACGCGCACAGATTAATAACAGTGCTCGGCACGGCCAGTAAATACATTGTGGTATAAACATTGCACATGAATTCGCCGTGCGTCCACTTTTGATTTTTCAGGGCGGCATCCGCCTTCAATGTTGTTACTAGACCTGACGTTAACAGGTCTGATATCGCCAGTGATATCACGAAGTAGTTTGTCGCGCTTGTACGTAGTTTCTTGTACGCTATGAAAGCGTACACCACAATACTGTTGAATACAAGTGCTAGAATTACAATAATGATCTCTGTCACAGCGAGAAAAATGTAGAATTTATCCACCCATGTTTCCCCTTCTAGAAACGGCTGAGATGGCTGAATCGTTGACGACCCATTGAAATAAGACGCGTTTGAGTTGTTGGCCATTTTTACACCTGTTCACTGGCTCCCTTCACCTGAAAGAACGAAGCATGTTTCAACCAACATCAGCGAATTAGTTTAAATCCAAATCAGTGAATCGTAATTCATTCCTTATCACAATTTTCTTTAGCTGCGGCAAATTCCCTTTGAAAGATATAGTCTGTAGACACCATTGTTGATGTTTTTCTCTGTACATTTGCCGACCCTAAGCACATATTATACATTCAAATGAGCTTCAGTTGTCAAGTGGTATTGCCATTTCAGTCCAAGATTACGTTTGCTGTTTTTCCTGCTGACAATTCGGACGTAAAGCACACGAAAACGAGTTTTTGAAAACTGACAGATAATTTACTGCGTTTCTCGACGCAATATCATCAAGTTAGAGTTTTTTTAGATAAAACCCTGTGTACAGAGACTAAAAGAGCATTAAAACTCTTGAAAACATCAATTATAGGAATAATAGTTTTCACTCACTTAGGATGTTATTAATCTTTCCACGAAAATCCGATTTTTGGCATAAATAATTTACGATTATTAATATATCACAGACGTAACAATATAAATGTTCCAGTTTAATTTGCTTTCATGCAAGGAAAAACCTATTTCTAACAGACTAGAGGTTTCACTCAAAAACCCCTTTCGCAGCTTTTAGCGGTTATGTTTTCCATCAGCACATTCAGTTAATGGAACTAACTGACTTTATAAAATCACAGAAAAGTAATGGATCATTGATCATTGTTTCGAAAAACATTCTAGAAAATTCCATACAGATATTGACTGTAAACTCTAAATTGGTTTGAAGTAAATCGACTAAAACGACCAAGAATACGTTTGTGACGGTAAAAATTTACAAACTACAACCTAACACTAACCATGAAGAATTTCCCGCGGAAATAAAACATGACTGACGCATGCAAATACAGGAGACCAGAGAGAAACATAAAAAGCTAAATTAACACTAAATCAGTGACTTACGTTCAAGTTTCTGTGATCTAAAAGATTTCTAAAAACATTTTAATTCGCAGTATAATAGGCAACAGAGGGTAATTTCGGAGGTGGTTAGCAAAACTGGCGGATGCACGTAGTCCTATTAAATTTTGCATTGTAATTACAAAATTCTCTGCGTCGTGACATTTAATATGGTTAATAGAAACATGAAGTACCCTCTCAGGTTAAATTTTTCTAAGTTTTCAAAGCGCGAATCCTTAGTACGCAGTACAACTCCAGTCTTCGCCAGTGATCACGTGACAACCGGAATAAGACTTCTCGCGCAAGGCGGTATGGTAAGACCGGAACAGAAATATTTCTAAGCCCGCATCGGTCCACACTCGTGCTTAATACGACCCTTGCGCTGGCAAATGCACAAACATGTATCACTCAAAAAAGCATACATCTCTCTATCAGGCTTGATATCAATAGCTAAAGCAGCGGAAAAGTTCCTTTATGTAAACTACGTTTGTCGAGCTCAGAGCTACAATATCCTAACTGCCTCCTGTGCCAGTTTTAGTCTAGTTTTGAACAGAGAACGTTCGATTTTAGACTTTAAAAAGCAAAGCAACAATGGCTTACAGTCGCATCGAGCGAGCGTAAATTCAGTTGAAGTGCTTTGTAAAGTGGGTAAAAGAATTCAACTGAACTGAATGATCTGTTTACCTGTATAGTAAGACGTGTGCGGCATTTTAAAGTCCTCATTCACCGAGTAATCTGCCGTCAGGTACTTGATCAGTCATTCATGCAAGATGTATAACTAAGCACCATTTGCACGTCGCCCTTCACCGATATAAGTAAACATAGGAGCCTGAGATGGAATATATCACTCTAAAATGGAAGGTAGTTTCGCTGGATTTGAAAGACTGTTCTCGAGGACATACCTAAACATCTTTGTGGAACAGAACGACGCCATATCAACATATCAATGTACGCTTTTGACCTTGCCTCGAAAAAGTGCCAAGGTGAAAATGTGACAAATATTGTAAAATTTCCGCTTGAGAGAAATTACAAGTGCATAGGAACAGCTGAGAACATGAACTGAACTAACATAATGGCATACTCGCACGGATGGAAAGTACTTTAAAAAGGCCTGTGAATGTACGGCTCAAGAGCTCTATTTT